AGCGAGTCGGCACCTGGCAGCGAAATCCTCGGGGGATCGAGGACACGGGGAGCGGCTGGCAATTGTCACACGCCGGCGACAGGAAAGTCCCAGCAGACGATTGTTTTTAGAAGAATCTACTTCCAACCTGCACGGCTCCAGCCCCTGCGGCAGCGCCTCCACCCCGGCACCCTCGGGGCTGCGGCGATGGTGGGATGGGGGTCCTAGTGCTAGGCTCGAGGTGGTGCTCCATGGCCACAGAGGATGCTCCAGGTGGGAGGTGATGCTCCTCAGCCTCAAACACAACCCAGGTGTCCCCCATCCCTTGGGGATCCCCTCTCCTACTGCAGCTCCCCGTTCCCTCCTCTCTCTGCCCAGGACCTCCGTGAGCAAGGCCGGGAGCGGAGCTGGGGCTGGGGCTGCCACTGCTCCCCCCAGACCCCACTGCCCCCCACCCGCACTGAGACCTGGGGCTCCCCCAGTTCCCCCAGTACCATTGCTGCTCCCCTGAACGCTGCGGGAGCACTGTGGTGCTGGGGGTATATGAGAGGGGTTCTGTCCTCCCTCAACCCCGTTTCCCACAGCTGTGACTTTGTGCCAGGGGCCCCCCCTGCTGCTCCCTGGGGCTGGGTAGAGTCACGCCTCCCCCCCCATCCTGCCCCCCAAACGGAGAAAGTTAGTCAAATCTGCAGAAACCGCAACGGGGGGAGGCAGCGACACTGTCACCGCTTTGATGTCACCCCTGCACGTCCCACAGGTGCTGCCATCACCCCGGGGCCACGGTCCCACCGCCGCTTTGCCATTAACTCGTGCGAGAAGGGGGGATAATGCAAAAATATTTCCTTCCCCACCTCCATCCTGTCCCCACGGACCCTGGAGCCGGCGGGGCTCGGAGAGGCCACGTGCGAGGCACACGATGCTGCGGCCGCTGCCATCCAGCCCTCTCACGTGGGGCTGGGGGTCCCTCCAGAGCTCCGGGGGCTGCGCCGGGGAGTGCAGGGGGAGCCAGGAAGGTTTCTGAGCAGCGGGGCTGATTCATGCCGGGCCTCCTGCGGTTTCCCTCTGCGCTCACCTCCCGGCGCTGTCACGCCAAGCGCCCACACACCAGCGCCAAGGGTGAACCCGCCGTCACCCACCGGGAGCTGGAGGGGAGCCCCTGGGGCAGCGTGAGCTGCTGGGATCCCCTGCACCCACCCTGCACCCAGTCTTTGCCATACATGCCACCCCCACTCTGCACCGGTCCCTGCACCCCCTTTGCACCCCAAATGCCCCCCCAGTGCCCCTCTGAGCACACCACACACCCCTCACACTCTGCTCTCCACCCTCCCAGCACTTCCTGCACCCCCTGTGCTGCCTCGGTGCCCCAGGGCTCAGTGCCAGACAGGGGCGACACAGAACACCCCACCGTGGGACATTCCCGACCCCACAGCAGCGCCTGGAGGAAGGAGGATGCAGCACCAGGGGGTGACGGGGTGAGGTCCTCTGGGTGTCACATGCCCGCGGGTCGGAGGCACAGGTGTCCCAGGGGAGCAGGAGGCAGGCAGGGGGCAGCTGCCAGCCCTTCCCAGCCCCGTCACGGCCGCTGCACTCCCGGAGGAAGCTGCTCTGCGTTGCTCACCCGGCACTGGTTATAAATACCGTCCCCATTTTAATGCGGCGGCGGCTGGAGCTATTTCGGGCCGGGAACGGGAAGCGAAACCCTGCCCGGGTCCCGGTCCCTCGCCCCCGCCCCCGGGATGGGCTGGGCAGTGCCCAGGGACCACAAGGGCTTATTTGAAGCCCAGGAGCCGCGCGCCCGCCTTGACCTTCTGTGCCTTCCAGCGGAGAAGGCGGATGGCGCGGAGGCCGAACCGCAGCACCGCGTCGTACTTGAACACCAGCTTGTAGAAGGCGTCGGTGATGAGGGCGCCGCTGGGGTCGGCGTGTTTGAGCGCGGCCATCGGCGTGTACGCCACGTTGGTCTGGTGCCGGAACGGTGGCCGCGCCGCCTCGATCACCCGCAGGGTGTGCTGTATGTGGGCATGGCACTGTCCCCTTCCTGTCCCACCCCAGCCCATCACCATTCCCATCCCCTTTCAACCCCGTCTGCATCCCATCCCCATCTGCACCTTCATCCTCATTCGCATTCCCATCCCCTCCCTTCCCATTCCTCTCCTATCCTCATTCCCATCCCAACTCCTTCTCATTCACTTCCTATCCCCATACCAAGGCCTTTCCATCTATCCCTATCTAATCCATCCCACCTCACCCCTCACCATTCCTATCCCATCCCTAACTCCTTCCCATCGTATCCCTATCTTTATCCTATCCCACCCCATCCCATCCTACCCCTATCTCCATCCCTTCTCATTCCCATTCCATCTCCCTCCCATCTCCATCCTCAGTTCCTTCCCATTTTATTCCCATCCCATCCCATCCCCATCCCCATTCCCACTCCCATTCCCATTCCCATCCCATCACCATTCTTATTTCCATTCCCAGCCAGGTTCAGCCCCATCAGGATGGAGCTGTCTGGGTGCGAGTTACTCCACTGCTGGCTGGGCATTGCTGTTCCTTGTTAGGGCTAACTGACACCTCTGTCCATTCCAGCCCAACCCAGCAGGGCACCCCAAAGCCCTCTGGGGCCCCCTGCCCTCCTGTCACCTCTGCGATGTCCTCGGGGGTCTGGCCCAGGCTGGTGAACACATCCCTGGAGTTTCTCAGGTAGAGCTTGGTGAAGATTTCGGCCGTCTCGGGGTCAGTCCGTGAGTAGTCGGCGCGTTCGGCTTCCTCGTACAACTTTGTCTCGAATTCTGTCATCACCGGCCCCGGCTCCACCAGGCTGATCCTGCCCAGGGATGGGGCACTGGGCACTGGGCAACCCCGGACCCCTGACCCCAGCGGCTGCACGGCCACCTGCCCCCTCACTCACGCCACGTTGAAGCGCAGCGCCTGCACCACCAGGCTCTCGCAGAAACCCTCCACCGCAAACTTGGAGGCCGAGTAGATGTCATTGAAGACAATGCCTGGATGGTTGAGGAGTCCCAGTCAGGGCTGGGTGGGGGCTGGTTCCCCCAGGGCACCCCATTTTCCCCTACCCTGCAGGCCCATGATGCTGCTGATAACGACGATGTGGCCCCCGCGGCGCCGCTTCATGTCGGGCAGCACCTCCTTGACCAGGCGGACGAGGCCGAAGAAGTTGGTGTCCATGAGGTTCTGCATGGCTGCCAGGCTCTGGCACTCCAGGGGTCCTGCCATGCCCACCCCGGCGTTGCTGACTGTGGGCAGGGAGCATCAGTGGGGTGAGCCCTGGGCAGGGGGATCCTGCACTCTGGGCATGGGGAGTCCCTGGTTCTTGGAGTGTCCCCAGCATGGGATGTCCTGGGTGTGGAGGGTCCCTGGTGCAGGGTGTCCCTGGCATAGAGAGTCACTTGTGTGTGGGGTGAGAGGCTCCTGGTACAGAGGGTCCCCAGTGCTCGAAGTGTCCCCAGAATGGGATGTCCTGAGTTTGGAGGGTCCCTGGTGCAGGGAATGTGCCAGCACAAAGGGTCCCTGGTTCAGGGGGTCCCTGGCATGGACAGTCCCTGGTGCACGGGGTCAGGCTCATGAGGTGTCCCTGACAGGGAGGGTCCCAGTGCTGGGAGCACAAATGGTCCCTGGCATGGGACAAGCTTGGCTGGACAGCCAAGTCCAGGGGTCCCCATCATGGGGGGTCCCCACACCAGGGTCACGGTGGGAGGGCAATCCCGGGGCTCACCCAGGATATCGACGTGGCGCCCGGGGATGCTGTCGAGGCAGGCGCGGATGGAGCCCTCGTCACACACGTCCAGCTGTTTGATCTCCAGCGTCCGGCCCAGCGCCGGCCCCGCCGCCGCCGCCAGCGCCCCGCTCCTGCTCACGTTCCTCATGGTGGCGATGACTGCGGGCACAGGCGGCTCAGCCCCCGCGGGCTCTCCCCGGGGGCTGGGGGGGTCCCTCCACCCCGCTCACCTCGGAAGCGCCGCTGCTTGTCCCGTGCCAGCCGCACGGCCAGCGCCAGCCCGATGCCGGAGGAGCAGCCGGTGATCAGCACCGTCTTGGGAGCCATGGCACGGCCTCTGCCCCGCGCCCCAGCCCCCCGCTTTTATAGCAGCTGCCCCAGCCCCCCCAGATCCGGGCCCTTAATCCCCCCTGGATAATCTCCCCTCCCGGGGATTTGCGGCGGCCGCGTGGCTGAGCCGCACGTGGTGCCCGGGGAGCACAGAGGGGCCTTTGTGTGGGACCCGGGGCACTGTGGGGACACAGAGGGATATGGGGACACTGCCAGACATGGGGACACTGTGGGAGATGGGGACACTGCCAGCCGTGTGCCAGCAGCACTGGGGGGCTCCAGGGATGGGAAGGAACAAGGCAGGAACTCTGCAAAAATAATCTTTATTATCACTGGTATAAAACACGTCCCAGTTCAACTGGCCTTGTGGAGACAAGGGGGACACAGTCATGGGTGCCCCCCTCACCCCCACACCCCGGGATCCCGCTGATGGGGACCCCAAAACCCCCCTGGTGTGGAGGCAAGGAGTGCCAGGCCACCGCAGGAATACTCGGGGCTGGTGCTGCAGGGTCGAGGGGAGAAAGTGCTTGAGTGTGGGGGTCCTGGTGGTGGGCTGTGCTGAGCTGTGCCATGTTGGCGGTGCCAGGCTGTGCCAAACCACCAACTGTGCCAGACTGTGCCAAACTGTGCCATGCTGGTGGTGCTGGGCTGTGCCAAACCATCCCGCTGGTTCCAGGCTGTGTCAAGCGGTGCCAGCAGTGCCAGACTGTGCTGAGCTGTGCCATGCAGGGTGGTGCCCAGCTGTGCCAAACTGTACTGGTGGTGCTGGGCTGTGCCAAGCCATGCTGCATCAGCAGGGCCAGGCTGTGCCAAACAATCCCAGTGGTGGCAGGCTGTGCCAAACCATTCCATGCTGGTAGTGCTGGGCTGTATCAAGCCGTGCTACATCGGCAGTGAGACTGAGCCAAAGAATGCCAACAGTGCCAGACTGCGCCAAGCCACGCTGGCAGCGCCAGACTGAGCCAAACCCTGCCACGCTGGTGGTGCCAGGCTGTGCCAAACCCTCCCGGTGGTGCCACGCCGTGGCTCAGAGGGCCACGCAGGTGCAGTAGTGCCGCAGCTTGCAGGGCAGGATGCCGCGGTTGATCTGGTGGAACTCCACGAGCTGGATGAGGTCGGCGAAGCGCGTCTGCCCGTCGTCCATGGTGAAGTAGAGCCGACCCTCCTCCTCGCTCTGCCGGGGGCTGCAGGTCAGGACCCCCCTCCTCGGCCCCTCCCCGCCCCCCCAGCCCCACGCTGGCACTCACCGGCAGGATGAGGTAGTGTTTGATGCGCTGCAGGTGACACAGGGACAGCACGAAGCCCTTGGGGTTCCGTTGGCTCTCCCGCACCAGGAAGACCCTGTGAGCTCCAGGGGTGTCACTGCTGGCCCCAGGTCTCCTCTGCCCTCCCAGGGTCACCCACGGGATCCCACAAACCCGCTATGAAGACCTGGGAGTAGCCCAGTACTGGTATCCCTGGGAGTCTCTGTGTCCCCCCAGGAACCTCTGTGTCCCTCAAAATCCTGGGAGTCACAAGTCCCCTGGGATCACTGTCCCCACCCCCATACATGTCCTGTATCCCCCCAGGAGCTGCAGGACCCTGTAACCCTTGGGCTCCCGTACCTCCCTGGAGTTCCATGTCCCCCCCAGGAGCCCCAGGGACCCCGAGCCCCCACCCCAGGGTCCCGTACCCGTCCACCAAGCCCTGGCGGCCGATGAGCTGCTGGGTGTCCTCCCGGGAGATGCGCCCGTGGAACCAGGGCTGGGTGCGGTGGATGGCTGTGGGGACAGGGGTGTCAGGCCTGGGGGGACCCCCTACCCGGGGCAGGGACCCCCACTGGGCACTGACCCCACGTCTCACCGGCACTGAGCGGGGAGCTGTGGCAGGCTGCAGGCAGGCTGTACCGGTGAGTCGTCTTCTTCTGGGCACACAGAGAGAGGAGGGGATGTTAGGGTGGGCTCAGGGGGGCTCTCCCTCACTCCCCAGCACCCCAACTCACCCTCCAGGCCTGTGCCTCCTCCAGGGCTGCAGTCAGCACCTCATTGGGGTTCTCAATCACCCGGCCCGTGCACCCTGAGAAGTCCATGGCCACCAGTGCATTGTCCGAGACGCTTCGCTGTGGGGGACAGGGGGGTCACTGGAGGGTCCCCACGGGCCAGAGGCTGCAGTGGACACGGGACACTCACCAGGGGGGTGGGGCCGATCCAGGGGGGTTGGCTCAGTCGTGCCTGTGCTTGCTGGTAGTTGCGGTAGAGCTGCATCCCGTACTGAGGGAACAGCCCTGTCAGCTGGGGGGCCCTGCTGCAGGGTGGGGGAGCCCCCAGGGACACCCAGGAACCTCCACAGCCACCCAGTGCAGGCAGGGGTGGGGACCTCTGCATGCACTCCACAAGGACACAGGGACACCCCACCCTGAAACATTTTCACTGGGATGGGGTCATCCCTCCAGCATCCCTCTAGAGATCTTCCACATTCCCTGCCTTGTATCTCTCCAGCATCTTCCCAGCATCCCCCCAGCATCCCTCCAGCACTACCCCAGTATTCCTCCAGAATCCCCCCTTTATCCCTCCAAATCCCCTCCCGTGTCCCTCCCAGCATCTCTCTCCATCATCCCAGTGTCCCCCCAGCGTGGGGCCCATCGGGGCTGACCTTGAAGAGCCGGAACGCGGCCATCCAGCAGCTGCGGCTCTGCTCATCCTCGCTGCAGAGCAGCTTCAGACCCTTCACACCACTCCGCACCTTGTGGGGCTGCGGGAGAGGCCGGAGCCGTCACGGGGCAGCCCCGGGTGGCTCTGAGGGGACAGAGAGCCCTTGGCCGGGGGAGGAGCAGGGAATGACCCTGCCACAGGCAGGGACATCCCCACCTTGATGCAGAAGCCAAATTCGGTGGGCGTCCCGTAGAGCTTCTTGCCCTGCGTCACGTAGTAGATGTTGGACTCGGTGAGGTCAGCGAAGTACTGGAGGTGCCGGGGGTCCTGGAGGGTGGGGGGTGTCAGGGCTGGCCCCACTGCACCCCCTGGACGTGCCCTCTTCCCCCAGGACCCCCTGCCCTCACCTTGGAGGTGCCCTTGGTGGAGTAGTAGAGCCCCGAGCGGCGCAGGGAGAAGTGGAAACGCTTCCAGACCTTGCGCCCGGCCTCCCGCAGCTGCAGGAAGCCCTGGACCTCAGGGCAGCTCCCAGAGTTGAGGAAGTTCTGGGGGAACATGAGGGCTGAGGGGCACGGCGGGGTCCCCGGGGCACGGCAGGGTCCCCAGGGCGTGGCAGGGTCGCCAGGGCACAGCCGGGCATGGTACCTGGATGAGCTCGGAGTGTGCCATGCTCTTGTTGGCCTCCAGGCAGCTGGACACCATCACCTCGGGGAACAGCGACTGCTGGGGGACAGAGGGTGAGCAGAGACCCTCGGGGTGCTCAGGGTCCCCACGGGGGGGTACAGAGGTGCCCACCTACCGCGTTGCTCTTGAAGAGCTCGTACTTGGCGAAGTTCTTGCGGAACACGAAGCGGCTGTCGGCACCCGGGGCCCAGGAGCTCTGCACCTCCACCACCGACTCGTGGTCCTCCAGGCAGCGCTCTGGGGGGACAGGGGGGGTCAGCAGGGTCGGGGGTCACTTGGGCCGTGCCCCGCTGTGCCCCCACGGCCGCTCACCCAGGGCCAGGTGCTGGTGCAGCTCCACCAGGGCCCAGCTGTGGTCGTGCAGCGCCCGTGTCCTGCGCACCAGGGTCTCGCAGAGCTGCCGCGCCGTGGTCGCCGCCGACGCCTCCAGAGAGCGGCAGGCGCCGTCCTCACCGAACACCTTCACCACCTGGGAGGTGGGACAGGGGGTGTCAGGGCCCCCCCAGCACGAGAGGACCCTGCAGAAACACAGGTGACACCATCCCCCCCCACCTTCTGCTCCTCAATTAGTTTGGGAGGTGGTCCCTGTTCCAGGGATGGGATCCTCCCTTCCCAGCCCCTTGGCTCATGTGGGAGGTGGTCCCCTCCGCAGGGTTGAAGTCCCCCTTCCCAACCCCTTGGCCCCCTGTCTCAGGAGGGCTCACGCCTCTGTAGAGTGGTCCCTGTGCAAAGAACCTCAACCCACATGGGAGGAGGTTCCTTTCCCAGAGCTGAGACCCTCTCCTCTCCCCAGCCCCCTGACTCCCACTTCCCATGGGAGGTGCCCTCATCGGGAAGGTCTCTGCCCCAAGACCAAGAATCCCCTCCCCAGCAGGAGTGTTCCTGTCCCAGATCCCAGTCCCCCTCCCCAGCCCTCTGCCCCTGACTCACATGGGAGGTGCCCTCGCGGGGGGGTGCCTGTCCCAGGGCCGGGCTGCTCAGGATGGGTGAGTTGGAGGGGCTGCAGAGCTCAGGGAAGGGGTTGGGGATGCTGGGCAGCGACGACGCTCGTGGCTCCTCCTGTAGCGGCTGCCGGCTGCAGGCACAGGGGGGTGAGCTCTACACCCCCTGTGACCCCCCCCTGAGCACCCTCTGACCCCCCCCTTAACCTCCCCGACCCCTCCACCCCCAGGCCTCACACCCACCTGCTGCCTTGGATGAGGAGGGGCTGGGAGCGCTTGACCTCGGGCGGCCCCTCGCCCCCATCCCGCTCACCAGGACTCCCATCCTGCTCGGGGGGCTCCCAGAGGCTGCTCTGCTGAGCCCCCCCCTCCATGGCATTATCTGTGGGGAGAGAGGGGGTCTGGCACCGTGTGTTGGTCCTGGTTGCCTTGGGGGGGCTACGGCCACATTTAGGGGGCCATGGCCAGGTGTGGGCAGCCCCCACAAGACACCACACCGGGTTCTGTGTGGGCTCCCCCCCCGGCACCCACCCACGTGCCCAGACAAGCAGGACCCCAGCCCTGGGGGTCTGGCTGATCCCCAGGTGGCCGCCAAAGGTGTCCCAGTCCCCAGAGTCCCATCCAGGAGCTGGGGGCTGGAGCGAGCACAGCCCGTTATGAGACCCCCAAGAATCCCCCACATCCGGCGTGGGACCCTCACCAGTAGCCCCACATCAGCACTGAGGGTCTGGGGGCACTGGGAGATGCTGGCTGAGCTGTGCCGGGCTGAGCTTTGCCAGGACAAGCTTTGCCAGGCCGAGCTTTGCCAGGCCGAGCCGTGCCGGCGCCGTGGGGAGCAGGAAGCCGAGCGTGGCGGCGGCGACTCAGCCCAAACACCTCCTCGGGTCCGGCCAAACCAGTTCTGGCGGCCGCTCCCAGCTCCACCTCACCGCCCTGGCATCCGAGCCCGGGCGGCCGCGCCGGGAGCCGGGGGCGAGGGAGCCGCCGTGGGAACCGCCGCCAGCCCCCTCCCCCCGGCTGGCACAGCCCCCCCGTGTCCCCACCCACACCTGGTGCCAGCGCCCACGCAGTGCCACCGTGCTCAGGCACTGGTCGTGCTCCGACACAGCCACGCTCCGGCACCAGCTCGGGACTGACCGGGGATGTGCCACGGCCCCGCCAGCACGTGGCACACGTAACACACACGTGGCATCCTCGGTGGCACTCGGTGGCCACAGGTGCTGGACCCGGCGGTCCCAGGACACCCACGTTAATCATTCACACGCTGCCGGTTCCTGTCCCCACCTCCTGCCACTCTCGGGGTCCAAGTCCATGGCTGGGCAGGACTGATGTCGTCCTCATCCCATCCCTGTCCCTGTCGTGTCCCTGTCTCCATCCCAGCATCCCACCAGGACCCTCTGCTCCATCTCTGCTCCCTGCCCTGGCTGTGCCAGGCCGGGTCCTCCCTCCCTGGCCAGACCCCGGGGTGATGTGGGGACACAGGGACAGTCAGGGGTCAGGTAGGGTGATGCTGCTGCTGGGGGGGACAGCAGGGGACACGAGGGGGTTGTGACAGACAGGGCCCTGGGACCAGGACACTGCCCTGGCACCAACCCGCAGCCCAACCCATGGCCTCAGGTCACCCCAGGTGTGAGCCCTGTTTTGGTGGCCGTGGCAGGGCTCCAGCAGGGTGGGGACACACAGGGTGGGACAAACAGAGGGACACAGGGCTTTGGGCAAAGGCACAGGGGCCATCAGGGTTATGGGGTGGGGGACTGGAGGGGGTCAGGACCACTAGGATCAGCCCCAGGGCCATCAGGGCTATGGAGCAGGGGGTCCAGGGCCGCTGGATTGAGGGGATGGTGTCCCTGGGCAACAGGGCTGAGGGACAGGATCCCAGAGCCACCAGGATTAGGGGATGGGACTCCAGGGACACAAGGAATGGAATCACAGGGTCACCAGGATAAGTGACAGGGTGCCAGGACCACCAGGATTAAGGAACAGGATCCCAGCTGTGGGTGGGGGTCCCGGTGGGTGCCGAGGTTGGGGGGACAGGGCTCCCCAGGGGCACAGAGGCAGCAGGGGAGGCACAGCGGGATGGCAGGGGAGGAGGAAGAGCCGGGAGGAAGGCGGGAAGGAGGGAGGGAAGGGTTGCAGGCGCAGTGAGAGGTCTGGGGTCGTTCCTGGCGGGATGGGACCAACATCCCGGGATGAGCAGCGATCCCCCGGCCCCAGGAGCCCCCAGCCCGGCCCCCGCTCCTACCTGCAGCTCCCGCCGCGTCCCGGCACCTCCCGCCGGACCAGGGATTCCTGTTCTCCCCGGCTTTATCTACCTGCGCCAGCTCCCGCCCCCGCCTGACATCACGATGCCCCGGGCCTGCTGCCCGGCACCGGCCCCCACCAACACCCAGGGGGAACCCCTCGTCTCCCCAGCCCCCGGGGGGCCTGTCCAGACTGGCCCCAGCCCAGCCCCGGGGGGCTGGACCCCCCAAACCCACTTCCCAAGACCCCACTGAGGTGGTGATGGGGAGTTTCCCACAATGCACTGGGGTGACCCCTGGAGCAGCCTGGCCATGGGCGACACAGGGCTTCGGTCCCCTGGGATGTCCTGGGGGTGCAGATCCCACAGACCCCCAGCCCATGCTCTGGGAGTCCCCAACCCCAGCGTGTGGGGTTTGGGTTGGAGCTCCCCTGGCACCCCCAAAGTGGGGGGCTGGAAGGGTCGCATGGCAGGAGGGGGATGTCCCCATTGTCCCCTAAGGGACCCCTGCCAGGTAGGAGCACGGGGTGGGGGGGGTGGGAGGGGGTCATGGAGGTCTCATGCAGGTCAGGGGCCCTTCCAGGAGGGTTGGGGGGTGGGGGGTATTTGGGATATGGGAACGCAGTGGGACGTGGGGTCCCTCAGGGGCTCTGTGTGTGTCCTGCGGGGTCCCTTGTGGGTGTCCCCATACAGTGGGAGTCCCCACTGGGGACTTGGGGTGCCACGGGGTCAGAGTCCCTAGAGGTGTCCCCATGGAGGGGTTATGGGGTCCCTGTGGGGGGTGCTGAGGGTTCCATGGGGTCCTATTGTTCTGTGGTGGGGCTACAAGGCCCTATAGAACCCCCACAGGGGTTTTAGGTGTGGGTCCCATGGGGCAGTGGGAGTTCCCATGACTCCCGTGAGGGTCATTTCAGGTCCCACGGGTTCCGTGTGGGCCCCCCGGAGGTCACCTTGGGCCCCATGGGGGTGGGTGCGGGTGACACGGGGGTCACTGAGGTCATCGTGAGTCTCACCAGGGGGGTTGCGGGTCCCCTGAGGGTCTCGGGGGGTCTCTGCAGGTGACACACAGGTGAGTTTGGGTCCCCTGGGTGTCACTTTAGGTCACTAGAGCTGTTCTGGGAGTCACTTTGGGTCACTGGGTGTCTCACGGGGGTCACTGAAGGTCATTTTTGGCCTCCCGGGGGTCACTGGGGTCACGGCGGGTCTCCCGGAGGTCTCGGAGCAGACAAGACGAGCAAGGCCGCGGTGCAGAGCGGCCGGAAGTGGAGCGTCACGTGACCGCACCCGGAAGCGGCAGCGCGGTGGGACCGGGGGCCATGAGCAGCGGGGCTGAGGACACGACCGGGGACGGGAACGGGGCCGAGAGTGGGGCCGAGCGGCGGGTCCGCATCGTGGTGGAGTACTGGTGAGCGCCGCGGCCGCGGGGAGCCCCGGGGCCGCATGAACCGAGGGGACCCCGGGGCCTTCGGGGGTGGGAGCGAGGCCCACAGCGATACTGAAACGCCGGGAGCAGAAACTGGGGGAGCTGGGATGAGGCATGCGGCGGGTTCAGGCACGGGGGGGACTGGGGGGAAAAGGGGGGGCTGAGGAGGGTATAGAGGGGTTGGGGGGCTGAGGAGGGTCCCTGCAGGGTGGGAGAATTGGGGCGCTGAGGGGGGTTATAGGGGAATTTTGGAGCTGAGGAAGGGTGAAGGGTTATAGAGGATTTGGGGGGCTCTGCAGGGTGGGGGGCTGAGGAGGTAATGAGGGGCCATAGGGTTATGGGGTATGGGGGGTTGAGAGTGTGGGGGCTGGGGGGGAAGGGGCGTGCAGGGGGTTTTGGGGAGGGTTTCTGAGCGGGGCATTGGGAATTAGGGAGGGAAAGGGAGGGAATTGCCTCCCTGTTGCAGGAGGCAGCAGAGCTGTTGTGGGAGTGCTCCTTAGTTTGGGGAGGTCCCCGTGCCGCGACCCCTCCTGAGCCGGTCCCCCCTCCCCAGCGAGCCCTGTGGCTTCGAGGCCACGTACCAGGAGCTGGCGAGTGCCGTGCGGGACGAGTACCCCGACATCGAGATCGAGTCACGGCTGGGAGGCACCGGTGAGACCCCACAGCAGCCTCGGGGGGAACACCCCAGGCTACCCCCACTGCCGTGCTGGAGGTTTGGGAGGGGCTGGGGAAGCCCAGGGGGGTCGTGCTGGTTGCTGCCCTCAGCAGCAGGGTCAGTTTGGGGGCAGAGCTGGGGGTCTGCAGGAGCCCCTGGGGGTGCTCTGAGTGCTCGGCCAGCCCGGTGCTGCTGTGGGGGGCGCAGGCTGGGGATGCCATGAGGGGTTTGGGTGGGATGCAGCTCAGGGCTGGGCTTTGTATGTGCCCTCAGGTGCCTTCGAGATCGAGATCAACGGACAGCTCGTCTTCTCCAAGCTGGAGAACGGGGGCTTTCCTTATGAGAAGGATGTGAGTATCTGCCTGGGGGTCCTGGGGTCAGCCAGGCTGGGCTGGGGGCGTTTGGTTTGCAGTGAGCCCCTCCTGTGATGGGATCTGTCTATGGGGTCCCTGTTTTGTCACCCTCTGGAGTTGTTCCCCTTCCTGCCACCCTGCCAGGACGCACTGCAGGTCCTGCTGGGAGAGAGGGGCAGTTCCTCTCTGTGGCTGGGATTTGTCCCTGTCACCTCCATGTGTCTGGGTGCCCCCAAGCCCTGCCTGTGACCCCTCCCCTGCTGTGTCTCCCCAGCTGATCGAGGCAATCCGCAGAGCCCGCAATGGGGAGCCCCTGGAGAAAATCACCAACAGCCGCCCCCCCTGCGTCATCCTGTAGCCCCCCAGGGACAGCAGGGTCCCCCCACCCTGCCCATCGCTGCCTTCCTTAAATCCCTGGCGATTGGGGGGCACTGGGGGGACCAGGGACATTGGGGGAATTCAGGAGCCTCCTGGGGACCCCCATGGTGGCACTGGGAGTCATTCTGTCCCCTGCCCGACCTGCTGTGGGGTGTAGCCGTGGCTTTGGGGGGTCTCCCACCTGCCTTTGCCTTCCCCCTTCATCAGCTGCACCTCCCTGGGGGGGGCACAGGGGGTCCCCATGGCACCTCCATTTCTCTGTGCTGGCCTCTCCCCTCCCTCACCCCCTGGGAATCTGGGGGTCTCCCATGAATGGGGAGCCAGGCTGGGTGTTGGAGCAGCTCCCAGCAGGTTCATTCCAAGGGGAATCCACCGGATTTGTTAATGATTAAAGTCCCTCTGGCACTGTTTAATCCGGGGCTGGGGCCGGCCATGGGAAGCCCGGCCTGGCCCCATAGCCAGAGGTGTGTTCACATCCCCCCTCCCCATTCCCAGGCTCCCAGCTCCTGCTTCCTGCCTGGAATGACCCTGCCCTTGGCCTCGGGGCGGGGGGCCCCCCTATTTATTCTATACTGTGTATAAACCCAACGGCCTGGGGCCTGGGTGGAATAAAGGATGGAGAATGTGGCTCCTCTGGTGTCCCTTGGGAGTGGGGGGTGGGACACGTCCTTGATCCTGCCTGGGATCAGGAATTTTATCCTTCAGGCAAGTGGTGGGGGGTGAGAGGGGAGAGGAAGGGAAAGGGAAAGAGGGAGGAGTGGGAGAGGGAAAAGGCAGGGGAAAAGGGAATGGAGAGGGGAAACGGGAAAGGAGAAGGGGAGAAGGAAACAGAAAAAGGAACGGGAAAGGGGGAAAAATAAGGGAAAAAGGAGAAGGAAAAAGAGGGAAAAAAGAAAAATGGTAAAGGGAGAGGAAAAAGAAAGGGAAAAGGACAAAAGGAGGGAAAAGGGGGAAAAAATAAGGGAAAAGGGAAAAGAAAAAAGGGAAAAGGGAAGGGATATGACATGTTGGTCCTCTGGAGGCAGAGCTGGATGTGATGGAGAAAGGGAAACCAAAGAGACCACAAGAGTAGAAAAAACAACCAATGTACAATTATCAAATATACATCCCGGTGCTTCCAAAGAATCCCAGAGCAGCCGGGACTGCTCTCAGTCCAGCTGCCCTCAGTGCAAGTCCACGTGTCCCAGGCACTGGGACAGCCCTGGAATGGGGGGGATGGCAGAGGGTCTGTCCTTCTCTGGGCCGTGCCGGGTCCGAGCTGCCTGGGCTGCTCAAGGCACCACCCAGCTTGTGGGCCCCCAGTGCCACTGAGGGTGACCCCTCTGTCCCCAGGCTTTGCTCCACGCTGTCCCACAGTGTCCTGGGCTCTCCCAGCCCTCCGTGGCGGGTGCCACCCCTGGGCAGAGGGGATGGACCCCTAGTCATCCCTCCCTGAGCTGCCTTGGTGAAGTTGGGGGGGTCTCTCCTACACAGCCGTGGCGTCGGGGCCGGCCAGGCCGAGGTACTCGGGGTTCTCGGCCGTGGGCGTCGTTCCGGGGCCACCATCGGGCCCCCCACCCTTGGTGGAGTCCTGGTTCCAGTAGTAGGGGTTGTCAAAGGCCTGGCTGAAGGGGCCAGGTGGGCCGTGGGGTGCCAGGTACTCGGGGTTCTCCACGGCGTGGCCAAAGGAGAAGGAGTTCTTGGGGTCCTTGATGAGCCCATTCTTCCCTTGGTGCCCCTTGGGCTTGTCCAGTGGGGATGGGGGAGTGTGGGGTGAATGTTCTTCAGCCTGGTTCACGTACTCTGCAGGGTGAGTGACACGTTAGGGACCCCCTCCCCAGGGGTTATGGGACAGGGAGACACCCCCCCATCACCTCCCCAAGAGTCTGGCTGTGGCCTCCCTACCTGGCATGGTGCTGTGGGGGGCCGGGACAGTGAAGCCATCAGGGTCCTCTCCATCCTTGGCCACCAGCCCGGTGGGATCCTCGCTGTACCGGGGCAGGGTCCCAGGCTCCCGCCCCGGGGGGCTCTGCAGGGCCACCTTGTCCCCATCTGGCACCTCTGGGACAGGGCCCTCTGGCCCCTCCGCCAGGCCCTGGGCGGGGAAGGGGAAGGAGGCCAAGCCCTCGCCCTCTTCCACCTTGGCTGGAGACTCTGCCGTGCTCTGGGTGTGGGAGAGGACACGGAGTTGGGCACTTGAGCCCACCCCGAGGACCCTCCCAGCCTTTTGCCCCTCACAGACATGGCACAGCGTCACCCCCATGCCTGTGCCAGGCCTGGGAGCTCCCTGCCAGCCCTCCCCGTGTACCCGCATGGAGGAGATGCGGCTGCGGTAGGTGGTGGAGGTGTCAGTGCTGAAGAAGCCGTGGTGAGGCACCAGGTACTCCTCAGCATCCACCAGGTCGTCCATGTCCTCCTCATCCAGCAGTGCTCGGTAGAAGGTGCTGTCCATGGAGCCAGGCAGCCCCACCAGGTCATTCTGGGGGGGGTCACACCAGTCAGTGCTCGCCCCAGGGCGCTGGTGAGGGGATGGGACTCTCAGGGACCTGCATACCTGGATGACCACAAAGCGCTGGGGGTCACGGGCCATGCGGGAGAACTCGGTGACCAACTCCCGGAACTTGGGCCGGCACTCGGAGTCAATCATCCAGCCTGGAGCAGAGCAGGGCACCATCAGGGCTGGGAGCAGGGTGACACCATGCCCTGTCCCCTCCCTGTCCCCGTGTAGCCTCCCCGTACATTTCACCATGATCATGTAGACGTCGATGGTGCAGATGGGCGGCTGTGGCAGCCGCTCGCCCTTCTCCAGCAGGTCTGGGATCTCCCGGGCAGGGATCCCATCGTACGGCTTTGCTCCAAATGTCATCAGCTCCCACACGGTGACACCTGGAGGGGATGGATGTGGGGGTGAGCAGTGCCCTGGGACCCCCCAAATCCCCTGGGGTGGGGACACCCTGACACACCGTAACTCCAGACGTCGCTCTGGTGCGTGAAGCGCCGGCGGAGGATGGACTCCAGCGCCATCCACTTGATGGGAACCTGGGACAGGGCAGAGGGAGAGGTGAGCAGGACCGGAGGGTGGCTGTCACCGAGGGGAGCACCACTGTCCCTGAGTCCCCAAGCCCTACCTTGCCACCATCAGCGTGGTACTCGGTCTCATCGATGTCGAGCAGCCGGGCCAGCCCAAAGTCGGTGATCTTGACGTGGTTGGGGCTCTTGACAAGGACGTTGCGAGCAGCCAAGTCCCGGTGCACCAGCCTCACCTCCTCCAGGTAACTCATCCCCTGGAGATGGCACATGTCCAGCTGTCCCTGGTCTCCCCCAGGACCCCCAGAGCAGCCCAGGTCCCCTGTCCTACCTTGGCGATCTGCACACACCAGTTGAGCAGGTCCTGGGAGCCGATGTGATCCTTGTTCTCCCGCACATAGTCCAGGAGGCAGCCGTAGGGCATCAGCTGCGTCACCAGCTGCACCGTGGAGGTCAGGCAGATGCCCAGCAGCCGGGACACGTAGGGACTGCCCACCCCTGCCATCACATAGGCCTCCTGTGGGCAGGAGGGGAGTCAGGGTGGGGGTCAGGGTGGGCAGGGGCCGCTGCCAGCCCCATTCCCCACCAGTGCCATGGCCACACTCACGTCCAGGATCTCCTTGTTGGCTTTGGGTGACGTGTTCTCCCGCAACACTTTGATGGCCACTGGGATCTTCACGCTCTCCCCATCGGGGATCCAGATGCCCTGAGGTGGGGACAAGCAGGTGAAAGGGTGCAGAGCGGGCGGGGGGGGTCACGTCCCACTGTGCTGTCCCACCCCCTCACCTTATAGACTGTGCCAAAAGCACCAGAACCCAAAACTTTAACTTTCTTGAGCTCCGTCTCCTTGAGGATCCTCATCTGGGCTTGGTTGGGGAGGGCCCCGCTGGGCGTCAGTGGCTCCACCAGCTGTGGGGCATGGAGGGGTGAGTGGGGCCAGGCTCCTGGTCCCTCCCAGGCACTGAGGGTCCACTCCTGCCCCCCAGGAGATCCCCACCTCGGTCTCCTGCAGCAGCCGCCGCATCGTGTGCTTGCGCTCCTGCTGCCGCCGGCGCTTGACGCAGATGACGGTGATGAGGAGCAGGACAATGACCAGCAGAGCCCCCACCACGCCAGCAATGATGGATGTCACCTGGCTGCGTGGCAAGAGGCCATCAGTGTGGGGGACCCCCAGCATCCAGAGCGGTGGTGGCACAACACATGCACACACTCCTACCTTGGCTTCTGGTCCACGGGACATCCATCCTCATCCCGGATCGTGCACCTGGGAACACAAGGTGCAGCCCCCTGCTGTCAGCAGTCCCCTACAGCTGCCAGCACCCCTTGGGCACCCCCTTCTCAGCTAGGGATCCCCAACTCACGAGTGGGTGCAGTTGGTGGGGCAGAGCTGGCACACGCCGAATTCATCCGGGTATTTCCAGACAGGCACAAAGGAGGCGTCAGCCTTGACGCCACTGGGGCAGCGCCGCACACACTGCTGGGCGTCCTTGTAGTGGGCACAGGCCACGCACTGGTCTGGATCCTGCAGGAATTGGGGCAGGTTGAGGGACTCAGGTGTCTGGGGGCTCCCCGACCCCACCCAGTGTGTGGCCTTGTCCTCACCGATCCGAAGCAGGTCTCGGTTCCGTTCTGGGGTTGGCACTCGGGGTGGCACGGCAGGCACCGTGTCCCGTTGGCGTGTTCCCGGACGGCTCTGCAGGGCAAAGGGGAAGGGATGGGGTCCTGGCCTCACCTGCAGTGTTTGTGGGGACTCTGTTTGCCACTCCCGAGGGTCTCCACTCACCCATCCAGGAGGTTGCAGGAGGCCACGCACTCCTGGCCACGCAGGAACCGCTCGCAGGCCACGCACTGGGTGGGGCCGGGGCCCCAGCAGTGCCCCTGGGCACAGAGGTGGAAGCAAACCAGCCCCTCGCTCTCTGCGGGGGGGGCACCATCAGCACCAGGGGGTTTGTCAGCAATAGGGGGGGGTTCACCATCTCCCCCCACCCCCACGGGCCCCCCCCTTACCGCACTGCTCAGGGGGTTTGTTGTGGGTCTGGAAGAGGCGCTGGCGGGGGTTGCGGAAGATGCTGTGCCAGGGCACCTTCTGGAGGAAGCAGAGCTGGGGGTTGTGGTGCACGAGCACCATCCCACTGCTGATCTCCTGCAGGGCCCGGAGCCCCAGCGCCTGCACCGCCAGGTCCTGCAGCGTCAGCGAGTAGGCGCCACTGCCGAGACACCCACGGGTGAGACACGAGTGTCCCTGTGTCCCCGCACATCCTCCATGTCCTTCCCGTGTCCCCCTGCACCCCCTGCATCTCACCCACGTCCCCTTGTGTCCTGTCATCCCCCTCATCCTGCAGTGTCCTCCCATGTCCTCATGTCTCCCCATGTGTTCCCACAACCCCCTGCACCCCCCAAGTCCATCCGTGTCCCCCCATGTACCCCTGTGCCCCAACATCTCCCCATGTTCCCATGTCACCCCGTGTCCCTGTGTCCCCTCTGTGACTCCCTGATCCCTCCACGTCCCCCTGTGCCCCCGTGTCCCCCCACATCCCCATCCCTGCTCACTTGTGCAGCACTCGGCCCCGGATCACCCGCAGGTTTTGGAACACCCCCAGGTCCTTCATGTCGGGAGGCCAG